CACACACACACACACACACACACACACACACACAGCCACACACATGCACACAGCAAACCAATAACACCAACATACATAAAAACACTACATGCACGAGTGGCAAATATTGTTGGTAAAATAAAAAAACAGCTAAAAATATCTTTACTCTGAGAAGAAAAAATATTCTTGATAATAGAGTGTATGTAGTGAAATCCTCATTTTGACTCTAAGTCTGGACTTATTTCTCTTACATATAGTAGAAATCTATGGAGATAAATTAGTCTAAAAAAATTAGAGCGCGCACTAGGGCTGGGCAATATGGCTGAAAATGTATCACAATATAAGAGTTTATCAGTCGATATCGATAATTATTGATTACTTTTTAGTATTACCTATTTGAAACAAGGACCAAATGAAAAAAAGACAGATAATCCTGCCAAACTGGTGACGTGACCTTTCCTCTTTTATTAACTATTTTCTATTTTCCTGTTGAGTTGTTGMACTCATTTTTTTCACCCCTTTTTACTGGGTTCCAAAAATGTTAAATTTTGTGGACTCTGCATTTGAAACCACTCAAAACAGTTGGGTTATTTTGTCTTTGGAAATAAACTGGAACATTTATTTATTGGTAGTTTTTGCAAAGGAACAATAGTAAATATACTTAGCACAAAATTTAAGTAAATTTTTGTATTTTGTAGATTGTTTCTTTGTTGCAACAATGATTGTTGGCAATAAATCTTATGTCAAGCACCTGATTGACTGAAGCTCAAAAGAAGTATCAATCAAAGCTGTTTGGCAGAGAAGATTTCGTAGCCTACATTTTTCATGTGCACAATGCACATAACTCCACTGCTCATCCAACAAATGCATGTTCCTTACAAAAATGGCACCATTTAAAAGGGAATTTAACAGGCTTTCCAACTATACACATTTTRTTGCCAAGAAGGATTGTTACAACAAAGAAACATCTACCAAACACACATTTACTTACTTTTTGTGTGCAAAGTTTATGTTTCCAAGAGTKTTTCCATATAATAAGTTTGAGTAATTTACTTCAGATGTAGCCTACAGTCCACACAAAATATCAGGGAAATCATGTATTTCTGGTAGTTTTTCCACAAGAAGAAAATGTTAATTTTGTATACTGTACAGCTAAAATAGCATTTTCCAAGTAATATATATTTATTTGTTCTGATAAATTTTCCCTGCTTGTGCTCAAATTATTTTGAAATAAATGTATCTCCATACATATACACTAACTGTATCCATCAGTTCATTGTATACATGTTGTATTTTTAGGTTGTTGTGTCTAATTTTTAGCCCAAAATAGGAAAAACTAAAAATCAAGTTCAGCTATTTTTCAGACTTTGACCTGGTCTCACACATCCATTAAATCCAACAAAATCATTTTCTTTGCATCGATTTCTTCATTTTAAAACTGTTAAAATGTCACATTTAGCTTAAACTTTTAATGATCAGAGACTTGTTGACTGATTTGTTTTTTTCTTTTAATCACAAACACACAGAGAGAGACTACACAGTAAACAAGTTCAATTTTCTGCAGTTGACAAGAAGTCAATGAGCCGTGCCTTTATCAATATGCATGCTCGCAGAATGCTTTAATGAGTATATGAATTGTATCAATTAACACCTATATGCTTCAAATTAGAGCGAGTGTTTAATATCTGCACCTTTTAACTCGCCGTTACGAGCAATGTATTCACATTTTGTCATTGAGGTACAGGAGGCGTGAATGGCTGTGTTCACTTTTATGTGTATGTGTGTGTGTGTGTGTGTGTGTGTGTGTGTGTGTGTGTGTGTGTGTGTAGATTTCGTGCGCCTATAAGTGAGTCTGGCAGCACTTACCTCCTGAGAGAGGAAAGGGATGATCTGAGCACAGATGGCACTGAGACGCTTGACAATTTCTGCCTGCGATGGAGAAAAAAAAACGAGWCAGAAGGAAGGAGAAGGTGAYATTTAATCATGTCRCATATTGTAAGGTGGTGAGTACACAAGGAACGCCGTGCGTAAACACACCTTTACAGCACATTAAGTTTTTGTTGCGTTCAAACACTTCCTTAATGAGTGAGGTCTGTCGGTGACAGCTCTATGAAACCGAGACATGAAAAGATACAATAGGAGGGGGTGAAGAGCAACAGTCATTGTTGGGTCTTTTAGCGCCTTCACACTCTCATTTGTCTCTTACGTGCTTCCAGTTTTCCTGCGTCTCTCACTTTTTCTTTCACAACACACAAACATTAAAGATAACAAGCATATATGCTTTTTTAAAAAAAGATGCTCAGCTTGCTTCTCTTCGTCTTTCTGCTTGTTTCCACCTCTTCATGCACTCACACAGTCCTCAGAATACAGCTGTGTGGAAGTCACATATGATAAAAACATAAAACTAACACACATTTATCCTGTGTTTCCCTCCTCTCGTACACACACACGCACGCACGCACGCACGCACGCACGCACACACACAGAACCTCTGTGGTGTGTCTAATTCTATCTGTCTGAGTGCCCTCAGCCTCATTTTGTTCTCTTCTTCACTCAGCCGTTCTCCCTTTTTCTCCAGCAGCTCTCACACTGAGCCATTATTACACCATTCATCCTCTTCCTCCCATCCGTCCCCCTCATCTCTCTCTCATCTCTCTCCCATCGCCTTTTAGCTTTGTCTGGTTTTTCTCCCATCTCTCTACTTTTTGACATCATTTTCTTTCACTCCGTTCTAATTTATTCTGCCTCTCTTTTTCCTCTCACCCCCCCCCCCCCCCCCCCCCCCCCCCCCCACACACACACACATCATCAGCTGCTCTCATCAGTTTTTATGTCGCTGCCGTACTTTTCCCCAACGAGCGTTCGGGTATGCTCTCTTCTTCAGCTGTCAGTTTTTCTTGCTTTCTTTCCAGCTTTGCTAAAACATGTTCCAGGCGTGTGAGGATGATGGAGGAGGAGGAGGACAGAGAGTCGACATAGGAAGCACTAGAGAGCAGAYGRATGATTGACAGGGAAGTATACAGAATCATACAAAGGTTCTGACGTTAAAAGTAAGTTAAAATCAGCAACCGCTCTTATATCATCACACGTGTGGATGTATAGAAGCGAAGGGTGAAGCTCATCTGTGTTTGCACAATGATTTTCTGTCTGTGCTGACCACAGAGAATAAAGTGAGAGAAAAGGAAGTCTGGCAGAAAAGATTTTTTCCCCCTTCCTTCACCACAAGTGGAATATATTACGCTTTCCGCTGCTGATGTGAGACCTGAACTACTTTAAACCCAAAGCAATCATCTTCCTGTATTCAAGTGGTATCTGCTTGACTACCCCGGAACCTGCTCTGTTCCAAACGCTCCGACAAAAAAACTGCAGCAGAACATAAAACAAGGCTTTCAAGGCCTGCGTGACYAGAGTCTGCAAGCAGTGTGAAGCATCAGGCTTTAAAYTGATAAATCCATCGTAAAATAATGTACAAGGTAGACACGTTTTATTGTTATTTACGAATACAGGGTGAGTCAAAAATCGCAGGACACTTGTCTATTTCAGAAACAAAAGGGRAAATAAAGTATTGGGATATCCCAGCGAGTAACTGATGAGGGGCGTCTATCTCTTACACTATGTCTAGAACATGACAGCCATCTTGAAAGCCACMATGCTGGATCAAAGTCAAAATTTTCCAATGGAAAGGGGGTCATGTAGGATATTAAAGAAGACCAGAATTGTCTCAGAAATGAGTTGCTGCTATATATCTTGCAGTATGGATACAGAGATTCTCATTCAGATTTATAACGGTTGGAGCCTGTGCTTTCAGCACCAGGGACAGCACACTGAACATGTCAATTAGCTGTGCATCACAGGCAATGTTACCAGTTGTTGTTGCAAAATTTTGTGTTGATAACTTTCGAACCACAAGAGATATTGCAAATCAGATGGAAGCAATCCATTTCAGAGACAGTTGTGGTATCCGACATGACCTTCCCATTAGAAAAAAATGACTTTGATCCAATTTGGTAGCTTTCAAGATGGCAGCCATGTTCTGATCATAGTGTAAAAGATAGACCCCCCCCCCCCACCATTTTTTACTTGCGGGGGTATTCAGATGTTTCATTTTCCCTTTTGTTTCAGAAATAAAAGGGTGTCTTGAGACTTTTGACTCGCCCCACAGATCAGTTTCCATTGCAAAGCGAAACAAGGCTCAAAATTTGAAGAGATTTTGTTTTGTCAAAAATGCTCACTTTCTGTGAGAAATGTGATCAATAACTGCTCTGGCCTCGATGTGTGTGGTTCATTAACACAGACAGTTTATCTGTGACAAGCTCTTGGCGTAAAAGAGAAACATTCGCAGACTTGAAGTCGACGTTTTGTTTGAATGGATGATCCTCCTCTGTTTATATCTCTGTAAATACAGCAGATTGCATCCGACCAAACAACAGGTTGTGTTCAGCCCACAGACGGACTCTGATGACCCGGCTCAGTTGTGAGCAGAAAAAAAGTCAGTCTGATGCTGAGCCGTATGTTTGTAGCAAACAAAATGTGACAGAACTGACCTGACTGCGCCTGGCCTTTGAAGCTGTTTTCATCTGATATTCTCTAACTTTGACTGGAAACAAAAACTTAACTGGATARATTGGAATAACAAAAACTGAAAATAAATGTCTTATAAAAAAAAGATCAAATCAACAACCCCTAGCTCTGTGTATTTTTGTAAGGAAGTCACTTTTATTTTAATTATCAAAATGATGACTTAAAATAGCATCATGATGTTTAGGGGCTTTATCATGATACATAAAACATATTACATCATTTTGTAATATAAAAACATGCACCAGTGTGATAATTTAAATAAATCTTTTTTTTTTGCTTGTATGCAAAAGAGATCACATTTGAAAGTAGTAAATATAATAGTAGTTAAAAGTAATATATTTTTACTTTTAAACCTCACAGCTGCACTCATGAGCTGTTTATTTTTTGTGACCTAGTTTTAACAAAAGCAGCTCAAAGTAACAACAAATGTGGCTTGAATAGAAAAAAATGAGTCACTCCATAACCGTATAAATTGGAATTTGTTTAATCATGCTTGTAACCACTAATAATGAGCGTTACAAACTTGTCACGTGACTGATGACATCCTTTCCCAAGACCCTAGCAGTGTTTCCCCTACCGTTACCCCATGAGTGTGCCCTGCCCTGTCAATAAAACTGCCTATAAAAAATGATTCCCCACCCACAAGGACTGAGAGAGGAGATTGTAGCCAGAGGATAAACAGCTACCAGTGGCGGGCACAGTTACGCTAATCCCTAATAGCAGAACTAGCTTCTCATTTAGCGGATTATCTTTTGTGCTAACTTTTGAAAACTTTAGCRGATAAATTCCGCTAAATTAGATTCCATTAATTTTAAGACAACTAAAAAAAAAATCACAAGTGTAAAACTTCTATTTTCATGTCATTTATCCCAAATTACATAAAACTATCCCCTCTTATAAGCAGTGCTGAATATGCAGGCAATATGTGTGTAGCATGTATGTAGCAGCTAAAATTCTAACTAAGAGCTCACAATTTAGTGACATCCCATGTAACAACATGCAACATGTATATTCAATATTTCAGCCACCCATAACTGGAACTATAGTCACTCTATACTGTATTGTTCATATTTTCTATCATTTTGTGTCTATTTTCACTGCTCCCRCTGGTTAAAGGTGTAAAACTTCCAAGAAAATATTCTGTGCTGGGTTCAGGCAGTCTGAGCTGAGCCAGGTGTCGGCAGCAACACATCACAGTTTCCTCCCACAGCCGGCCAAAGCACAGCCACCAGGGAGTACTGGCAAAGACTGGCYGGATGGAGGGATGCCTGAATGGGTACGTACAAAGCAGGAGAGAGGACTCGTCAATAAAAAACCTGAGGGCAGATAGGCTGCCAGCTGGCATGGAAACAGATAGTGACAGCGAGAGGAAGGCTCAACGTTAAAACAGATTAAATATAGAAAGTGAAGCTTTTCAACTGGAAATATAATACATGCCCAAAATCTTTACTTTCAGAAAAAGGTGAATTTTATGAAAAGAAAAACTACAACTGAAGAAGAATAAGGTGTTATAAGGTAAATTAGGCCAAAGTAACACCCATGCTTCATATAGAACAGAGTCAGCTAGCTTAGACTTCATTACCTTAAAGATACTGATCAGAAATAAACAATTAAATGATCACAGTATTGTGATGTTTGCAGATGACACTGAGATCTGTGATGAGAACAGGAAACAGGTGGAAGAGAAATAGGAGAGGTGGGGGTATGCACTTAAAAGACTAAGAAGGGAAGTTAGCCAMAGTAAGACAGAGGACGTGTGTGAATGAGAGGGAAGCAGGTGGAASAGTGAGGCTACACGSAGCAGAGGTCACAAAGGTGCAGKRCTTCARACACTTGGGGTCCAATATCCAGGAAAACAGGGCGTGTGGTGAACAAGTGTCCATAGAGMTAAAATGAAAGGTCAAAGGAAAGGTTAACAAGAGAATGGTGAGACCAGCCATTGGAGACAAGGTATGGTTTGGAGACAGTGGCATTGAGATAAGAAAGATAAAACTGAGATGGTTTGAACATGTCCAGTGGAGGGACAGTGGGTACATTGGTTTGGATGTATCCAGAGGAGGGATACTAACAGGGGTAACAGGATGTTAGAAATKCAGCTGCCAGRAAAAGTAGACAAAGAGGAGATATATGGATGCAGTTAGAGAGGGAGGTAGATGGAGTGAGAACATAGAGGACAGAGTGAGATGGAGGAGGACTCAACGTGAAGAGGGAACAGCCCAAAGAAGAAATACGATTTGCATTTCAAATTAAGAGAACTTTATTGTTGAGTTTGCTTGTTTTTCTCCCTATATTCACAAAATCCAGATGAACAAAAAATCTAAAATGTTGTTTCTTGAAGGCAGAGAAAT